AGAGGGCAATAACCGATTTCATAGTGTGAGCCAAGTATCCATATTCTCTAAACGTTTTCCAAGGTGTTTTGCTGATTTGTGATTCCACTTGAGGCTTCCACACTATTGGGGCTAAGCTCTTAAAGCTTGAAGACATCAAGCTACATCAAAAGGTATGTCATCTAACTAGAACTTTGTAGTATAGGTGCTTCATAATATGCTAGTTAGGATGAAACCTTGGAATATTTAATATTTGCATGTATAATAGAGAAATCATATATCCACGGTTTATAGGGTTGCATGTACACCATAGTTGTGTTAGAATGCTTAAAACCCAACACTATCCATGAAAGCTTAGCCCAACCTAAATGAACTTGGCCCATCACACACATATATCTTAGAGTCCATNGTTGATATGTTTATATGCATGCGGAGCTCAGCTCGATGCCGGGCTGGGCCCGATGCCGGACATTGTCTGATGTCGGGCGGGACCTGATGCCAGGCATGGTCCGATGCCGGGCGGGGTCCACAATTTGTTTATATGTGATTATGTGTATGGTATGTGGTAGTTTGGGGAAACTCACTAAGCTTCATGCTTACAGTTTTCAGTTTTGGTTTCAGGTACTTCCGGTAGCAAAGGGAAGAGCTCGGGATTACTGCATTGCACAAACCATGATGTTTTAGCCTGGGATGTTTACTCTGATATATTTGACATATGTTTGATATGGATATACCGTTTATGATGATTTGAGATACTTTCACTTATGTTTTGATAGAATGTTTCGATAACTACCGTTTATTTAATAATAGTAAACGAAATTTTTGGTCATGAATTTTGGGATGTTTCAGAGAATGCAAAGATGACAGGTGATGTGTGGGGGTAAACCGGAGAGGTCACAAGGTTCATGGTTTATAAGGATACCATTGAATTGGTATCTTCTTGTTTGTTCTCATTAAACTAGGCTTTAATCTTCATGACACCCAAGTGACATCATGTGTCTGAGTGAATGGAAACTTTCCAACTTGGTGGGGGATTGTTGGAAATTATAGAGGTAATCTTGCAAGTTGGCAAGTTTCCTCTATCCCACATTAATGGGGGAAGAAACCTTGTGTAGGTTTATAAGTCTTTTCCATTGATAAGCCTTCAAATGCTTTAGAGGATCAAAGGAATGGGCTAAGTCCACACACGCGCACCTAGCCTAACCTAGCATTAGCCGACGATGTGAGTGCGCGAAATGGCACGATTGTTGGACATATATGCTCAAGAATCATTATTGAATGACATTTTTAATGACATGTGATCCTATAGGGTCACACCTTTATCAAGTTGGTACTTACTGAATATTTATTAAGTAATTTGTTATTAATAAATAAATTCAACTCTTGTATTAATTTAGAGAAAAATTGTTGTTCTATGAAAACAATATTGTAAGAAGTAGAAAAATAGTATTTATATGATAAGGTATCATATAATAAGTCATGTATAAAGTTTTGGACACTTAATTTGGTTAACCATGATTAAATCAAAGGCTTACTCTACCATGGTTAAAAAGACTAGTGAACATTTTTTGTCCTCTTTAGGCCATATGGCCGAAAGTATGTAGAGGGATGGAGGTTGTTTGTCAACCCCCATCATCTTGTTCCCCATGCCTCTCCTTTATAGCCCATACTTTAGAATATTATATTCAAGAGGCCATACTTGCATGAGATATATAAAGAGGGTCTTATACATGGAAAATGGTAAGTTTATTGGTCTTGCACTTCTTCTTTTTTTCTCTCTAAAAACCGTAAGCACTTAGGAGCTAGGAGCTCTCTCCTCTTTTGAACACATTACTTGCTTTTGGTGTTCACTTTGTATCTTCCTTTAGTACTTAATTGATTAATAACTTAAGGCTTAAAGAACAAAGTTGTACAAGAAGAAATCTAGCAATTTTGGTACCTTATTCTTGTTGGTGGATTACTTGTAGAGAAGATGAAGCTTCTTGTTCTTGTCATCTACTCCAACACCCCAAATTCAAGAGGGTCCAAAGGCATCAAAGGTTGTTATTTCTAAACACCATATGGTTGTTGTAACATCATTCTAACCTCTTTAAAATGATCATTGATGGTTTGTTTTGTTTTCAGACTCGAAATTTATAAGAAATTTTAAAGCTTCCTTTGCCGGTTTTTGTGAAAAACTATATATTTATGCAACAAAAACCCTTCAACGATTTAGGCGCACTTGGCACTTCGCACGGCGCATCGGTCGTTGGGATCTGAGGACCTTTTGTTTTTGACGAGTTCGGGTCAAGCCGGTTTAACCTATCCGGTCAAATAGTTTACTGTCGTTGACTTCGTGGAGGTCAAGTCGAAATATTTTGGAAAGCCCAGAAAATGGCTTGCTTGGAGAGCAAGTCGTTGCCCTAGGGTTTCTAAGGGTCGGCCTATGTGGGCCCTTTTCTACCTTCTAGGGTTTCAACACCTATAAATACAACTCCCTAGGAGCCGCATTTGATGCTCACGAAAAATTGAAAGCTCTCTCATTCTCTCTATGATTTCTTCCCAATTTCTCAGTATTCACTTTGCGTTTATCGTTTTCCATTGTTGTTTGAAACTTGGTAAATATGCATTAAATCATGGGGTTTTACTATGTTGCTTACAACCGATAGAAGCCAAGTAAAAATCTTTAAGGATAAGAGTCTGATCCGTGCAGTTACTTTACGATCAAGATCAGCCGTCAACAAGGTTGGTTTTACATTATTGTTTCGTCTTTACTTTCGTCCAATAACAGGACAATCTTCTACTCTTTTCTTATAATTAGATTTAATCGAGAATGATTAATCTGATTTCTGGACGAAACTTGGTAATTATAATAATAATAATTGGATTTATTTATCACAATTAATCGACATATAATTCTCAATATTATTTATCGGTTTCCTTACGTGTTTATTAGATCTGATTTACAACAATTGGTGGCTTGAACGATGCGGTTAAGAGGGTTGGAACCGTCGCAGGTGGGAAGGAAGATTTTGGGTGGTCTTGGTTGTTGTTTTGGCGGTGGTGGGGGTAGGGGCGATGGTGGCGGCAACAATGGCTGGTTTACCTGGTTGGTGAGGAGATTGATTAGCTTTGCCATGTCTATGGTGAGTGTGTCGAGGCAGGTGTAATTGATGGCGGTGGTAAGGTGGATGAGAGCTTGAAGTTGGTCTTGCATAGAGAGTGGTTCTTTTTTTTTTTTTTTTTTTTGTTCGGAAGACATAGTAAGGGAGATGAACGCACCAAATGATAGAGGTCAGTTAGAGATACCACTCTCCTAAGAACGTGAGATGAAGAAGAAGACTCTTTGGAGCAATTTTCTGGATTCTATTTCTTAATCTTCAAATGAATATGTACAAGGAATTAAATATGAGGAAGCTACTAACTAGAAATAAGAAAACATGCATGCACCAATGAAAATGAGTCATATTTTGATGCAACTAACTATCATGGGGATTGACTACTCATGAGACCAGTCTTTCACAATTCTTCCACTGACCACGTGTTTAATTGAATACAAAAGATTTTATATCAATACTTATGGGTTCGTATGATCAATTCTTCTCATTTTTCTGCACTCAAACCCCTAACTTGGGTGAGAGTTGTCGCACTGTTTGTCATCAGTCATCACCGGTACCTCAATTTGGTGGGAACAGTATACAAAAGAAAATTGAAAGCAGACACAAAAACAATATTAAGCATTAATCCAGCACTCTCAACATAAATGTATGTAAATCACCTCAATTTATAAAGGGTTCTCTGGATATTGAAACATATTGAATGATGGGTTAACAATGCTAAATCCACCATCAATAAACAAATTATGTCCACTAATATACTTAGCCTCATCACTCGCCAAAAAAAGGACAGCTTTAGCAACATCATCTGTTGTAAGTGTCACACCCTTAAGGTTTGCAACTGAGTTTACCTTGTTCTTGAAATCCTCCCCTTTAAGCCCAGTGAAACCTGTGGCTTGTGGTGTATCTAGTGCGTAAGGTGAAAGACAATTGACTCGAATACCAAATTGTCCAAGCTCAACTGCCAGATTCTTGGTTAAACCAGCTACAGCATGCTTTGAACAAGTGTAAGCATGTGGGCACAAGCCACCGATATTTGACACAACACTAGCTGTTGATATTATTGAGCCAGCTCTTGCTGGAACCATAACCCTAGCTGCATGTTTCATACTTAGAAAGACACCTGTGACGTTGACACTAAGCACACGTTCAAAATCCGATTTTTCATTATCGATGATGCGATCCTTGTTAGGATCGATTATTCCTGCATTACAAAACATGATATCAAGTTTTCCATATGTGGCGATTGCAATATCTACAGCTTTTCTGACATCTTCTTCGTTGGTTACATCACAATGGACATATATTGAGTTTGATGATCCTATGGCCTCACAAACTGCTTGACCAAGTTGGTCTTGAATGTCTGCGATGACGATTTTTGCACCATGTTCAGCAAAGAGCTTTGCAGTACACTCCCCAATTCCACTTGCAGCCCCTGTTATCAAGGCTACCTTCCCTTCTAACCTACAGATTATGTATATTTTGTATAAATTATTCATTTACAATAATAATAAAAAAAAGATAACCGAAAAACTCAGTATTAGTACTAGAGATGATAACCTTCTTGTAGTGGTTGTCATTGGCTTTAATTTGGAAACTCAAAGGATTGTTGTATGAACAAATGGAAAGTAAAGAGATATACTTATACAATTAGAAGGATTCTTATGGCGCCACCGCCTCACATGTACATCAGTTCATCAACCTTTTTTTTTTTTTTTTTTTTTTTTTTCTTGTGGTTGTTATTTGCTTTAAAGAAGACAAGGGACATAATTAGTGGCTACAAATGGATATGGGAGTAACGATAAAATTTACGATGAGGATATGTGTGGCCTAACTTCACATATAGAAAAATCCAAGATTGTGTACGTCTAGGTTGAAGCAGTTTCTGAGTAAAATAATTGCGGACTAATCACAAAATAACCAAAAAGAGAGGATATTAAAAATCAATTTTTTTTTTTTAAAATTAAAGAGCCTTTGGCAGTGTTAATACTTGACAGATATATGTAGATCAATCAAATTAATTAGGAGAAGAATAGTAAGTATGTGTAAACCGTTTAGAAATAATATAATAACAAAATTTTACAATGCATAATACCAAGATTCAATACTTTCGAGAAGTGTCAAAAACTCGAATAGCAAGAAGTTTCAGTTTCATAGTGAGATCACATCTTTCAGTTTAATTACATCCTTACTTCAAAGGATTTTGTTTCTCTCGTCTAATAATTCCAATAAATGTAAAGGAGTTGCAAGCTTCTCCTAAAATCTTAAATATCAATACGAGATCTTCAAAGATCTCGAAACTTGGTTTTATAATGGTCTGTGGCTAATAACAAATCTTGATCATTTTATCCTATTACTTGACTATTTCAATCCTGCTGAAAAATTACCACTAACGATGCTCAATTGGATGTAAGATGTTATCATATCGAAGGGATCTTTAAATAGAATCAATACATAACTACTCATCAACTTTTTTAAACTGAAATATAATAAGGAAATCCGTATGTAGATTTTAATTTTTTCTTACCGATCCAAGCCTATGTTCAAGAATACCTCTCGAACAAAAAAAAAAAAAAAAAAAAAAAGCGACGTCCAACATTCAATGCCAAATATGGCCTTTCTTGTCCATCATGTTGTCTATTTGATTTCTTGTGTTTTTTATCCGCTCATTATTTTCTTCCATTTGTTGTTGAACATAATTTATTTTTGCACCCATTCCAAAGGTATGTTCATGTTGGCGGAGCCAGTGCATATGGACGTTGGACCATTGCCCCCGCTTAAACGTTGGTCCTATCATATATATATATACTTCCACATGTATGTTTTATTTGAAGTTTCAAGTTTATTAGTTTAATTTTGTGATAATAGTTTTGGATGCAAATCTTTAATTAGTTAGTGTTTCGCCTTTTAATTGAGTTTTTAACTAGTTTATAAACCGTGGAAACCACGGTTATAAAAAATTAATTAAACTTTAATAGTGAGAACTCAAAATTATTAATCAATTATTTTAAATAAATTATTAATTAAGAGATATTTTTTTTACTTATATAAAATTATAATCGTTAATTTAAATAAATATGTAAAATTATATCACCTTATAATCTGTATTAATTTTATTTTAATTTTTATTCAAATGTTATTGAATTAATGCAATTAGAATGAGAAATTTAAAATTTGAAATTTGAAATTGAGAATTAATAGGTTGACAAATGGCATGCATTAATTATGATGCCTAATAGGATGACGCATGACAAAAGAAGAATAAAATATGCATTAATTAGGAGGCTAATAGAATGACACATGTCAAAAGGAGATTAAAATCATTCTTTTATTAGAATAGGAAGATTAGTTTTATGAGTTGCGTGAGTGCTAATATTGTTAATTTTATTAGCATTTACTTTTTTTACTTTTATGTTGGTGGATGTTTATATTAAGAAAAAAAAAACAGTAACATGTTATTTGGTTTTATGTGTTATAAAAATATAAAGGTGATAACAATAATAGGTTCTTTGACAATTTTTATATGTCTGTATCAAGTAAAATGTATCAGTATTTAGTATACATATATTATGTAAACTGATTTTAGAAACAAAATCACTTTATGATTAGCAATTATATTATTAGTGGACCCCAATTAACTTTGGGTCTGGATCAACAAGTGCTCATGTAGTTTCAACATCTTATGCTCAGGCATGTACAACCTTCTTCATGAAATCTGATATCTTCTAGTAATTGGGCTCATGGGAGGAACTTGAGGAGATTGAAAACCTTTAAAATTTAGCATCGATTTTCGACTAGTCGGAAGACATTTTGAGAGTGAACGGGAGGTTAAGCTTTTGAGTAAATTATGAGAGGCAATGACATCGTAATTTTTGTATGCTTTAGGTTATGGTTTTACATGTTTGTAGTGGTGTGACATAGTGTGATCCAATTAGGTGAATGTTAGGTGAAGTTGGGTGAAATCATAAAAGTATGAATTAAATGAGTGTTAGGTGGGGTTAAATTATTGATGAAAAACCTAGGAAATCGATCCATATGTAGAACCATGAAAAACCTAGGAAATCGATCCATATGTAGAACCAAAAATCGACCCAGATGTAGAAATCGCTCAAAATGTAGAAATTGATGAAGAAAAACCTAGAAATCTATGGTGAAAAACCCAGAATAATGAACACAAACACACACATGCGAATCTCGATCGATGTGTAAATTCTTCAACGAAAACCTTATAATGATGGGAGGTGGGTTTCTGAAAACCAATTTGAAGGTTTTCAAGGTTGGGGTTTGCTAGATCTCTAATCCATGTTGTCCCCGCTCATGGCCATCGTGAATGTGCCTCCGTCTGGTGACCTTCATCAATTGCCACTTTGGTTTTCGGTTTCCTACATATGCTTTCATCAACAATCGCTCATGACCTTTTGTTGGGTTTTATTCAAAAATAGTCTAAAATAAATAGTCAAAACTATGAGTTTAGCAACGGAAGCAATTTTACATTTGAATAAACTAAAACCATTTTACCTACCAATGATCATTTTGCAAAGCTATGAAAGACTAAAACACAACCAAAGAAGGAGAAAGTGTTACAATCTTTGATGACTTTGATTCCTCTCGGGAGGTTGGAAGTTGATGAAGAATGTAGAGCAAAGCTCCTTCTTGTCTAAGACACCAACAATCGGTCAATGATAGAGGTGCTAGCCAAAATCTTGTAGTAATATCAAACTATTAAGCTTTAAGTTAATACCAAGTATTAACTCAAAGAGAGTATAAAAGCATCATCTTCATCTTCATAAGACTTAACCCATTAAGCACTTCAGAGAAAGAAAGGGAGAATGAGAGAGTATCCATGGTTCTTCACAAGAAAGAAGTAAGAACAAAATATCTAGCTCAAATGCTCCATATATGTAGTTAGAATAAGTCTTGCAAGTCACCTCATGCTATACTGTAACACGCGTAAACACGGGCGAGACAACAAAGTTATTATAAGCCATAATAATGACTTTTAAATAAAAGATTGTTTAGGATAAATAATCTTAACCGAGTTATAATATATGTCGTAAATAGTGAGTTGGAGATAGGTTACTTATTAGCCCTAGTGATCAAAACGAAGGTCGTACTATTAGGAAAAAGTGAATTTGCAAAAATGGTCCCTGTGGGTTCTCATTTTATGTGGTTAAGGTCCAAACTTTAAAAAAGTTGTATATTTGGTCCTTTTGAACACGTTTTGTTGTGGTTTTGGTCCCTCTTCCGTTAACTTTAACAATTTGGCTGTTAACTTTTTTTAAAATGACTATTTTACCCATAGGGACCATTTCTGCAACCAAAGTACAAGGATCATTTCTGCATATATTCTTTTTAATTTTATGGAATTATTACATATTAATAAATGTTATTTTTAATATATACTATTTATATATTAATAAATATTGTTTAATTAGATTAGTCATTTTTTTTAATAATTTTTTTTAATTTCTTTGTTATCGGCTATTTAAATTGGATTATGATATATGAATAAATATTGTTTTTAATATATAATATTTATATATTCATAATTATTATTATTTTTGGATTATTAATTTATTTTAGTTAATTTTGTTTATTGGAGTAATTCTTTTTATTGGATTATTATATATTAATAAATATTATTTTTAATTTATAATAATTATATCCTAATAAATATAACATTATCAGATTATTAATTTTTTTAGTTAATTTTTGAACTCTTTTTTTTGGATTATTTCTTTTTTATTGAAATATTATTTTTAATTTATTGTTTTTTATATAATAAATATTATTTTGTTGGTTTAGTAGTTTATTAGTTTTTTTTTTTAATGTATACTATTAACTCTTTTTAATTTTATTAGTTTCACCACAAAGTCGTCAGAATACGCAAAAGCATTGCCTCTCATCATCGAAAATCATCGGGATCACCACAAGACATCATCATCGGAGGTCGGATAGAAACTCACAAACTTTTTCCAACCAATGATGACGGTAGTCACCCGCGATAACACCACTACCATCACCCGATCGCCACCACTACTTTCAATGTTTATAGAAGTTTGTTGCGCATTATGTGGGATATGGAGGATTCCAACGGATTGTGAATAGATTGTTGTAGGTGGCTACCGGGGATGTTGGGTGGAAAAAGTTAGTAGGATTTACATCGGACCTCCGATAAAAATTTTTGGCAGTGAACCCGACGATTTTCGTTGATGAGCAGGCGGCGCTTTTGCATATTCCGACAAATTTGTGGTGGAACTAATAGAATTAAAAATAATTAATAGAATACATTAAAAATAAACTAATAAACTACTAATCCAACAAAATAATATTTATTATATAAAAAACAATAAATTAAAAATAATATTTCAATAAAAAAGAAATAATCCAAAAAAAGAGTTCAAAAATTAACTAAAATAAATTAATAATCTGATAATGTTATATTTATTAGGATATAATTATTATAAATTAAAAATAATATTTATTAATATATAATAGTCCAATAAAAAGAATTCTTAGTGTAAACAAAACTAACTAAAATAAATTAATAATCCAATATAGAAATGTTTATTAATATATAAATATTATATATTAAAAACAATATTTATTCATATATCATAATCCAATTTAAATATCCGATAACAAAGAAATTAAAAAAAAATTATTAAAAGAAATTAATAATCTAATTAAACAAAATTTATTAATA